AAGTTTATTTACGTTAGTTACGTATACTTTATTTATTTTTATTATTATAGTATATATATATATATATATATATATATATATATATATATATATATATATAAGTAATTTTCTGTATATTTTAATTACAACTTTTTTATTGGAAAAATAGTTATGCCGTTCAAGTATTTGCTATTTCTTTCTTTAAAACTTAAAAGATATCCATGCTAATTAGTCTATACTTTTATTAAGATGTTAATTCAAATATGAAAAAAATTAAATGACTGTGCAAGTGCAAGAATAGTTTAATATTATTTTCCCTACAATCTTGGTCATAAAATAGTAATTATATTTCATCTACAAAAATAAAATATAACCACATCGAAATCAGCAGTCTATGGAAACTGGGTAAGTCATAAGAGCATTCAGTTATTTTTACTCCTCAAAAGGCATGAGTACGAAGGGAAAATTACTTTCTCTCTGTCATGCATTAAGTACATCATCAATAAATAATTCAGTAAATTAAATTATTTATTTAGCTATAATTAAAACAGTTCAGATGTAAAGTGAATTTCATTCATGGCTTTATAGTTAATTTGTCTGCTTTATCCAATGTTAGAAATAATCAAAGTAGTTAATTTGGTTTAATGTATAGTTCTTGTAAATATTTAAATACATCTATAAAAAAAGGCAAGTCTTTAGTGGTAACATAATAATATTCCATACGAAGCGGGAAAATTTACATCTCTAATAAGTAAGATATTATTCATAATTAGTGATTTTTTACAATTTGCCCATATTTATATGTATTCTTTGGCTGGATATAGACTTGACCTCTACTTTGTTGATTCTGCCATGTATAATACTGGCAAGGTAGTAATTGCTTTTATGTGAACTTTGTCTCTATATATGTAGGTAAAACTACATGTCAAACAAAGATAATATACTCTTAGTAGAGGAACTATGCAATAGGTTTACGATGTTTAATGATCTATTAGTACTGACCAATTTAATTTACTGTATTTTTTTCATTTCTACAGATCTATCATCACTTTGAATTACCCGACAATCAATCTGAAAGCATCTTTGTTGTCGTGAGACCTGTAAGAATACAGCACAAAAAACAAACAACAAGAAAAGCATGCTGCTCTTTATAACGCTTCAAAGATCTTGTCGCAAAAACAGTTATAAAAGTTGCCATGTAGTTTAACGTCGAACATTTATCCGCGTAAAAATTGTTATTAATTTAAAATTTGACCTTGGTAATTATTCTCTCAATGAACATCAATATAGCAGTCATAGGTTTATTTTTGTGCCTTGGTGTTATACAAGTCGAAAGTTTTTTCTTTTCGACGTTCGGTGGAATGAATCTTATAGTAGCTCCAATAATTACACCCATAAATATTTCATTTCCGCTAGATGGAGCTGTGGCACTAGGCGCATTCCGAGTTGCAATCGTAAGTATGAATAGTAATACCATAGAATTTGCTGTTTTAAGTGTGGTTGCGAGTTTTTTACTTACATGAAAAAATGACGTAATATTCATTCTGTATTTTGAGAGTCATTGTAATTTATTCATAAATGAGGTCAAATTCTCATAAAGAGTTCAAATGTGATTTATACAAAATCAAACGGAAGTTGAACAAAATTTAAATTACACAAGTATGAAGAAACTTTGAAACTGAAAGGTCAGCAGATATACAATGAATCAATTGAACATATTCATAATTCAGCCTAGAAAATATCTTACATATTAATTTAGCCGATACCAATGTATGAAGACTCGTTTGACTTTTGTGCTTTCCTCAAGTGGGACCTACTCGAAGTACAATACTCCACAAGCAAGTTTTCTACAAGGAGTAGTAGTTGGTCCCACACTATTCGTCACGTATGTCAGCGCCATGCCTATGACGGGCCGAAATTCTTATTTCTGTTCAAAGTTTGCTGCTGATATGGCTATTTGGAAGAGTTTCCCAAATTCAAAAACAGAAGCATACAACATAACAACCTCTGTTAAATCTCAATTACAAAGACCTCAAAACTACATAATGACTAAGGCTTATAGAGTATCACAATCAATGAACCAAATTTTCCTACATAACTAATAAAATACCCTGATTTTGTCAGGTTCCTAACCAACTCACTCGAATGTTTTAATACAGCTATATCAGACACATTGAACCTAGTCTTAAGTACCTTTCTTTTATTAATGTTATTAATATTGTTACGACAGTGGAAGTCACGTGACGCTAGTAACACGTCATGAGATTCTAGAAGGGTCGTGTCTGTTCTGGCAACTCTCGTCTTCTCTACGCGCCTTCTATTTTTTATATATATAAGCCGGCAAATGAAGTGACGGTATAGTAGATAATTGCAGACAGACAGAGTCAAGCGCGGTGTTAATGTGCGTGAATCGTTGTGAATTATAGCGTGTGTTTAAGTTAAAGGACTGGGGAAATTAAGTGTATTGCAAAGTTGTATTGAGATGGAATGAACTAGTTTTATTTAAGAAAAGACTTGTGTCGCTGAAGTTTCTTCGGAAATAAATTATACGGAAAATTAACAAACGAACAGAGACGTAACAAATTTGTGTCAGGAGTGGGATTGAAGAAAAAGAAGATGGAAACGAGAAGTGGCAAATCAAACTACAGCTTAGCAGATTTGATAGCACCAATACAAGAACAGCAAAAGAAACAAGAAGAACGAGAAAAGAAACAAGAAGAAAGATTACAGCAGTTGTTGGAGGAAAAAGAAAAGAAAGAAGAAGAACGAGAAAAGAAACAAGAAGAGAGACAACAGCAGTGGCAAGAAAACCTGCAACAGTGGCAGCTCGAACAGCAAAATAAACAAAAGAGATTACAACAGCTGTTGGAGGAAAAAGAAAAGAAACAAGAAGAACGAGAACATAAACAAGAAGAGAGACTACAGCAGTGGCAAGTGGAAAAAGAAAGGAAACAAAAAGTACAAATGGAAAACATTAGTAAATTTCAAAGCGAATTAAATACACTAAAGGATGGTTTATTGTCTTTTACACAAGGAGGATACATTAACCATCGACTTAATCACCCCACACAACGGCAAGCCCCTTCCAGACCCCGCAGCTAAACCCTAATGCAAACATCTTCAGTCCTGTTAGAAGTCACATCTCAGATATGAATGTCAGCAATAGGGGTTATCTAGTACAAAGGAAACCACAGGAATTCGATGGGAAGGCACTGTGGGAAGCATATAGAGCACAATTTCAGCTCCTTGCAGACATGAATGGGTGGATAGAGGAGCAGAAAGCAGTATATCTGGCAACGAGCTTGGAGGGACAACCACTAGAAATACTTGAACAGTTGTCAGCAGACGACAGGCACAACTATAGAGCACTTGTAGCTGCTCTAGAACTTAAGTATGGGACCCAAAATCAGTCTGAAGTCTACAGGGCTAGGTTTAGGACGAGAGTCCATGCTAAAGGGGAGAGCTTGCAAGAGCTGGCACAGGACTTGGAAAGTATGGC